ACCCCAAATTTTGTAATCGATTCTTCAAACTAGGGTTTCAAATTTCCATACACCCTTCGCAGTGAATTCGATGAAGATAGTAGATAAAAATGCATCATCATACATGAGTAACAATCCCATGCATGCCAGCAAAAAGAGTTCTCATCACTTACCATTTGTCATTGGCTTCTTGTGCACCAAACTCTGGCTAATGTTGTTGTAATTCCTTAAACCCTTTGTGTTACCACCATAGCGACGAAAGAACTTAAAATTGAAGAATGAAAAGAGACTTGAAAGTTTTTCTCGTTTAGGAGATCAAAGGGGACAAAAGGAGAATTTGTATTTTAACAGGTAGAGAAGGGGGGTTAATCCGTAATTCTATATTTCACCATTTCTTGCCCAAAACTGTCCCAAAATCACCATGTTTGTTTGTCTTTTCACAATTTTGGACTATTGACGTCCATTGGCCGGTGGTCAAGGGGGGTTTTATCAGTTTTGTCTTTAGACAAAACCTTTAGAATTCAATCTTTAGAATTCAATATGTGATATATCTATACTTAGTTTGCGATGATTCATCTTGACTCGATCGATTGGAACACATTGATTCAATCAACCAATAAAGCTTGGAGATGTCCATCTAAGAATGTTATAGTTATAATACAGTAAGCAGGGTAATTATTGTTGTTGACAGTAAATACAGTATTATTATAAAAAGAAGAAAAAAATAATAATATTATTGTCACATTTAGTAAGCATAATTTTCACACCATAAAAAAGAATGAAAGAAAGTGCGAAATGAATTTTCCAATGAGAAAACATCAAAATCGATTTGTAGGGCAACATTTTGTATTTTTTTTTTAAACAAAGAAAAAAAAAGATTTTGGTCAAACTCTTGTTACATACGCATTTTGTAAAATTATTTTCTATCATATTAGTATTAAGTTTTAGTAGTTGATAAAAACGTAATTTACATATAAATTATCCTTTTTATAGTTTTGTGTTTGTTGCAAAGTTTATAATTTGAAATGAATTTTCTCCTACCAAATGTGGTTTGCTTGTTATCTATTATGTAGAGAAAATGTGAGTAAAATACATTTTGAAGTGGATAAAAAGGTGAATCAGTGCACTTAAAGAAAATATGACAAACCACCAGGCACTCAGCAGAGTGAGGAAGAAGACTCCATCGAGTCAATCAGAAGAAAACTAACTAGGCGTGGTGATCTCATAAGTGTTGCACTATACAGAGTGATGATGAGCACTCATTGAGTGACGGAGGAACACTTTGCGGATTGACTCAGTCCGTTATTTTTAGGTCCGTCAGTTAATTGGGGTAACCGGAAAATCCGCCTGCACCGAACACAATTTAGGTGAATCGGGTTGGATATTCAGGTCAAATCGGGGGATTGTGGGATTACTTGGTCAACCAAAGAGATAATGCGATGCGGGTTTGGGTGAAAAAGTGTTTTTCGGGCACCGCTCAAAAACTTGAAATAATGAGTATTTTTTTAAAAATATATTTAAATATATATACTGAATATGCTAGAGTTGATGGTCTCATTTTCTTTAGCCGCCGCACTACTCCTCTCACCGCTCCCTCTTTCCATCTCGCATTCTTCCTCTTTCTCAGGGGCGGACCTACGTAGGGCCTTGCATAGGCTGGAGCACCCCCGGCAAGGCAGAAAATTTTTCCGGCTAGCCTATATCCGCCCCTGTTTATTTTCGAAGCACCCCCCGTTGTGCTCAGATGATGGAGAATAAAACGAAGAAGATGATGACTTTTGACTTTTCTTTCTGAAAACATGTTTCACAACAAAACGTGTTGTTTTGTTTAATGATCTAATGAACAAAGGCGTGGTTCACCAAACCTTCTTCCTGCCACTTTCTTAACTCACAAGATGACCCCAAATCGGCCTTGTAAAATTAATAGTGATAAAATTAGACATATATATTAGTATTGCAATCAGCTTTGTGCTTATTTTCCCCTCATTTGGAAGAGTTTTTTTCATTTTTTGGGGGGTTCAATTTGCTTCAAGGTTAACATAATATTTCAAAATGGTTGTAAATCTTTTATTATTGCTGTGTTTTCGCCTCGTTTTGAAGGTTTTATTTGTTGCTTTATTTCTTTAGTTAAATACACTTTGAAGGTTTTATTGCTTCACCTCATTTTGAAAGTTTCTTTAAAACTTTTATTTATTGCTTTATTTCATTTTGTTAAAATAATAATTCAATGTATTTTGTTATTTTTCTTTGTCTTCTATTTTTTACATTGTATTATTTGGTTCAATTACAATTTTATATCGTTCACTATATTTGAACTGAGTTTAATTGTAATTGTAATATTTGAATTGAGGTTTTGGAGATTTCCATATTTGAGAAGGAGATATTGAAAAAAAGAAGAAGAAAAAAAGGGAAGAGTGTCGGTGACTAGCCGCGAGATGGAGAAGAAAGAGCAGGGGAGAATCTAGACCTCGAGCATCGGAGGTGCTCACTATAAATAGGGGAAAAATTAAATAAATATTTATGTAATAATATTACATATATATTCTTTTGAAAGAACTTTGTAGGGATAATCTTCTATAAGCTTTGAAATATTTTTTTTTAATTCTTTGGGAGAAAAAGTGTCGTTTATGCCGGTGAATTTGTTAATTTTTTCCTGAAAAAAAAAACTATGCGGGTAAACAGAACCCAAAACCGATAACCCGATAATTTATTCGGTCGGTTTGGTTTGTTTTTATAGATTTTGCAGTTTGATTTTGGGTGGGTTCAACGAGAGAAAAAATCCGATTAAACCGAACCGAACTTCACCCGAGCTGCGTGAATTAGTAGCCCTAGTTAATTTAATAGATTTTAACTAAGACCTAGGGTCTCGGTTTTGGTGAATTGAGAACCCTAAATACGTCCCAAAAACAAATATTAGAGATTGGAGGCGGCTACTAGGGTAACTCAAAGAGAGAGAAATTAACGGAAAGATTGGGGATCACCTCATCAACGCGATCTGGAGCCAGATTGAAGTTGACGATGAGTTACTCCTATGGAGTTTTTTTCCTCTCGACTTTGTGAACATGAATTTCGTCATTTCTTCTCTGTATTGTGAATATTGAACTTCTTTTCGAACGTGGGGACAAGAACAAGGAATGTAGGACATCTGAGCAAATTTGGATAGAGAACTGGGCCTAAACAACCTCATCTTTCTGTATTGGACCTTTTATATAGAGTAGTGATACATGCAGGGAAAATTTACAGGAAATTTTGATAGGGAATGATGTGGCTAAATCTTGACTATTCCCTAACCCTTAAATGGATAAATCGCTAACATCAAGGTTGAACTACGAACAGTTATGATTTATTCCCTTTATATTTTCTTTGAAAATTTTCTCTACAACAATCATTACCACATTTGCACATATATAAAGGAAAATATTTATGTAGAAAAAGATTACAAGGAATTTTAACCGTGAATGGATCCTAACCGTCCATACTTATGCCTTATATATTGTGCACAAGTTTTTATAATACATTTTGTTATACTTTTTTAGTGTACTAATCAAAATAGATAGCAAGCGAATATAAGTCGTACAAAGTATAATCAATTTCAAATAGTTGTGCCAAAGAAAAAATTAAATTAAATTAAGTAAAATTAAATAACTGTAAAATTTGACAACATGGAGAAATTGAACAATTGCATAGTTTTTTCAAAAGTGTAACCGACGTGTTGAGATCTCTGAGAAAGGCGGTGGTCTAACTTAAGGCGTGCTTTTTCTGCGGCTAAGAAGGGGGATGGCGTGCTTTTTAGCTTCAAATCATCACTCTAGCTCAAGTCTTCAGCTCAGTTAAATGTAAATGACTAACTTTTAACTTATTTAACGTATTATTTAGTTACCGTTAGAGGCTAAATCCCTGCTAATTTAGTGGCGATTTCTTGAATTCATTGGCATTTAATAACAGAAATACACACTCCAAGTATTTGATGTGTGTAGATTAGGTACAACTTGTTGGCCTAAAACTAATATCGCCTCTACTACTTATTTTAAGACATTTTAATTTTTCTTAATTTTTATTTATTTTATTTCTACAATTAAAAAACCTTGAAACTCTTTAGAATAATTGGGAAACAAAATAAATGTGAAAATGCATTTTCAAAGTTTATTTCATATTAAAAGAATATAATAAATGAAATTTACCAAAAATTAAAATACCTTATAATAAGAATCGGATGGACTAGATCTCGAGTTTAAACCGGTCTAATATTGCATTGAGTTTTCCATTTGAGGCTCGTTTGATGAGGAAGATTTCACAACTTAATGAAATTAGTGTTTTAAGATAATTTGTAGTAATCACTAAAAACATTTAGTCATCGCGGTCTTGTACATACATATACAAATAAAAATTTGTATCACAACATTTGTTCGCTCATGTGCGACTAAAAACATTTGTAGTATCACAACATGTTGACTGAATTAACCCCTGGTTCAAAAGTACATACATATATATACGCGAACGAGTATAAAGGAAATTAGAAGCGAATGAAAGTATTGGGAGAGAGACACAAATTTATTCATTTTGGACATTTGTCTAAAAGACAGAAATCAGGAATTACATGTCCCTATCGCCGACTGCATATGAAAATGGATACAAACAAACCCTACGAAACACTTTGGGAGAAAAACACAAACTTTTTTAAGAAAAAAACTCATACAAAGATTGGTTTCCCAACATGCAATTTTGTATCTTCGATCTTCAATGATTTATGGGTTTTCATCTTTTATTCTTTTTTCTCAAACATCTTTGTAATCCAACTTCAATAATAGATGATTCTTCTTCTCATCCCCCTTCTCCTGCAACAATTAAAGAAATGGTTATGCGAATATTAGAAATTATACATTTCCATGATATTCAAATATTTCAGAGATCTTTATGTTTTTGAGCTACTCATTGTCTCATGCATGTGAATATTTAGTTACTAATTACCTTGAATAATGTGCAGGCTTGCTCAGTAGTGCTTAGGAGGAGGTGGTGGGGACTTGTTCTTAGGCGGTGGGGGTGGCGGAGACTTGTATGCTGGTGGAGGTGGTGGAGGAGAATTGTACTTAGGCGGCGGTGGTGGTGGAGACTTGTAGACTGGTGGTGGTGGAGGAGGGGACTTGTACTTTGGTGGCGGCGGCGGTGGAGACTTGTAAACTGGCGGTGGTGGAGGGGACTTGTACTTTGGTGGAGGTGGCGGTGGGGACTTGTAGACTGGCGGTGGAGGAGGAGGAGACTTGTACTTAGGTGGAGGTGGCGGTGGGGACTTGTATTTAGGAGGTGGTGGTGGAGGAGACTTGTATACCGGAGGAGGAGGTGGTGGGGACTTGTACTTAGGCGGCGGCGGTGGTGGAGACTTGTATGCAGGAGGAGGTGGTGGTGGCGACTTGTATTTAGGCGGTGGTGGTGGTGGAGAGTTGTATTTAGGAGGAGGTGGTGGTGGAGACTTGTATACTGGCGGTGGCGGCGGGGACTTGTACTTTGGAGGTGGTTTGTGTGCCGGAGGTGTTACCGGACGGGGATAGTCAGGAGGTGGCCCATGGTGGTGGCTTGGAGGTGTATATTTGTGCTTATGATAATCATCAGCTGAGGTTTGTAAAGGAAAGCATAGGGCAAGCAAAACCACTAGAGAAGTGGTGATGAGAAGAGGAGTACTTTGTTGCCTCCCCATCTTTGCTACTAACAAATTGTAGTTTTGTGGTCTTTGCTTATGCTTCTTATGCTGCCCTCTACTCTTCCTTTTATAGCCACAAATTCTTCTTGGTTTTAAACTTTGTAATCATGGAAATTTGCGGGGTAAAATCTTGGTCAATTGACCTTTTTCGACTATGAATTGAAAAATGTCAAATAGGTTTAGATAGGTTCCAAATATGAGTTGTCTTCACACGTACTTTTGTACTTTTGATCTATCTGACTTTTGAGATTGGAAAATGTTATCATTATTTTATGTTACTTGTGTGATCTCACACCTAGCCCTATAAAATAATTATTGATAGTATAGTATCTTTAATTTTATGCCCCGGTAAGGAACTATGCACATATGACTAATTGACAATTTATGATAATAATTGATAATAATGTGTACTTACTAAGTTATGCAAAATTTCAGTGTTGATATTGAAAGTGTTTGTGTGAATGCAAAATGATACGGAAAGATTGTTTAGTTAGCTAAGGTCCAATTATTTCTGCATCTTCTCATCACATTTGGCAGCTGTGTCCTTCATTCTATCTTCCGACTTCTTCACCGTCATTCCTTAATGAATATACAAACATTTAGAACTTGAGAGAACCCAAATGCAAATATTTGTCTGTACCGATTTTATTTTGTGAGTGTTAGCGATGTAATTATTCTGAATGGATCTATTATCTGTACGCAAAGTCACATAATTTTTTTTCACTAATTTCAGTTTGACCGAATTAATATAACGTACGATAAAAGGATATGTGGCTTTTTGGATGGAAGAAACCCAGATGAGTGATAATTTTTGGGTAATTCGGACTTTAGGGGAATGTTACATCGGGAGAAAAGGGTATACTATTTTAAATTGGAAAACAAAAGAATGGATCCAAAATTGACTGTGTTATATATGTCCATCAACTTTGTGTTCAAAGACGCTACGTACCTTCCTTTTTGAGAGTTAAGTGAAACAATGCAAAATGAACAGGCTGTGGGGTCATTTATGCTAAGTACAAATTTAAACAAAAATAACTATTTTGAGACGAAGAGATTGGTATTAGCCCGAATCTACCTCCATCTGACAATTTAGGATTCAGAGATTAGGGAATTAGTGTGCTCTCTGTTTTTGATCTTTTATGAAAAGGGAATTAATTCCATCAGAAATTAAGATCATATATACAGAAGCCACAACTAATCAAAGATAAGTTTCATGATCTCGTAGATCATTAGTAAAAGTTTGGAATAACTAATGTACATATACTAATTTTTTACCTTTACAATTAAGGATGTCAACTTAGTTGAAGATAACATTCTCTTCTTGGCAGTAGTAATTGGGAGTAATCCAAGTCTTAACTAAGCTATAACTCGTTGATTTGATCTCTGAAGCCAATGACTACAGGGTTGTGGATAAGTTCGTAACTTAATGGAGTTTAGTAATACATGCAAGGAAAAGAATGAAATTAAGAAAGTATTTAATTACTCAGTCTCATCTGAATAATTCAATTGGTTCTATTGTTACAATTCATCAAATATACTGTTAGAATAAAGCGTCCAGAGCAATAGTTATAGAGAATTCTCACCGACACGGTCCTGTGATATATATGTGTATTATTTTTGCTACCAAGAAAATGTTAAAAGGCTAATTTTAATACATTAACTAGTACGTCATTTTTAAGTCCCAAAAATACTGTCATTGTCTTACATCTAAGTGCAAATTCTTTCGACCATTTGACTGACTAATGTTTAAGTACACATGTTATCTTTGACAAGGTGTACTTTTCCAATTTTGAAAATGTACACAGGTAAAATTGATGTCTTTCGATGTGTTATGTGTTATTCGTCTCAAAGCAATTATCCAATTTAATTTTTACTTTTTTCTATAAATTATTTCAAAAATTAAAAAAACAAAAATGGACAATCTTTTTAATCACGTAGGGAGTGTCTTTCTGAATCATAGTCGTGAACTAAGTAAAATAAAATAATTAAGCACGAAAACTCTTACTTTAACCAGTTCGTTTTCAATATTTCCCGTGATGCAGCCCTACCGTCACGAAAAATTACTACATGCAGATGGAATATAACAAGATAACATATTCGATATCCATATTGAAACTCAAGTTCTTCTTCTTCTTCTCGCTTTCTAAAAAATGGGGAAAAAATTAAAGTCACAGGAAACCAACAAATAGTGGTAAATCACGAATAAAATTCCTTTTTTTTTTTTCTTTGTTCTCATTGTTTTGGCAACGCTGAGAATACACAAGAGACGTGAATATGGACATCTAAAAACAACATACGAACATCCTAAGTAAATCAACCTAAACAAATTTTATCAAAGGATGGTGAAAAATTCGAATCTGGGTCAACTACAAAGAAAGCAAACATCTGACTTGTTCCCACTATACCCAATTGATCTTAATGTAATACATTTTGAAATAAACAATCCACTTCTTTTCAAAAGAATCTGTAGTACTAACGCGTTGAATAGTTCAGTAAGTAACAAGTCCATATCACATTGTTATCAGACACTTCATCAAAGTCATATAAACTAAGGGGAAAAAAAAGAAAAAAAAAGAAAAAAAAGGTGTGAGTGTGTGTGGGTCAAACGACCTGAGCTAAGCTCGAATCTACATTTTGCCTTTTTTTTTTCAATTTATGGTGATACTAAAACCTCTTCAAAGGGTAAAAAAGTTTAGCCAATTTCGAATATACTTGACAGAAAATTCACATTATTTTTCTTGAAAAAAAAATGCTAAATTTAAAATAACTGTACATAGCCTAATTAACTATACGATGGTCTCAGTCATTTTTCTGTCCCAACATTAGAAAAACTAAAATGGAAAACAAATGAGATTTTTTTGCTTGTCCACACTAAAATTTGACAATGTCAGTATATTCCTTCACTTTTTTTTGTAAGTTTTTCTTCTTTTCTTTTGGTTAATATCTATTGTAAGTTGATCTCAGGTTATGGGGATTCTCTCTTCGGAGTTGAATAACTTGGTGGGCAATACGTAGATTCCACCAAAATTCGAGGGTAAATTGTGTTTAGCGCAAATACATGTACACATTACAGAAATTAAATATACTTCAATCATTTTCATCTATTGTTCTTTAAAATCTTGTTTCTCCACGCAGTCACTACAAACAAAATACAAATTATATGGGTGGTTACAAGTCAGAACTTCTAAACTGCTTAAATTATAACATATTTTCACTAATTTATACTCTCTTCGTCCCAAGAATAGAGCCAATATCGGCTTTTGAGACTATTTTCTCGGGAGGGAGCAACTCTTTTCTAGAATAATATTTATTGTGGCCATTTTCGGGACTGTATACATTTGAAATGTTTTGAAAAGTCAATAACCATTCTCTCTGTTTCACATTAAGCCTTAAAATTTGTACTATTTTTAGTACAAATCTTAGCATTCGATATAAACTTTTCTGACAGAGAGAATATTAAGCATGTCTATTTTTCGAGAAAGAACCTAGAAATTAAGTTTCTGAAGTAGTTAAATACACTAGCGGATTTAGGGTGGGGGCCACGGGACCATGGATCTCACTGTCCCCACCCTAAATTAATAGTATAATATTTTGATTAGTTTAATTATAGTTAAGATTGTAAGCTGTAGTTTAATAATTATAGCGTACTTTGGAGTAATTGTCTTTTTCCTTCTTTTTTTTTTAAATTTTACTTCTAATAATTATGTTTTGGGCCAGCTAAGAATAACCCAAATCAAAGCGATACTACATTTAGTCACATATTATTTTAAATAAAAATAATGATAAAGTTCTAGATTTTGGTTAACCATAATTATAATAATGATGTTAAATTAAGTCGATTGTGTATTGATCAACATTATATTTATTACGTTAATATGCCAACAAAATTTTCTTATTATATCATGCTAACAGTAACACTTTATTACGCTAAGTGATACTAAAAGAGAGAAATTTTTCAACGTGATGATAAAAATCATCGTAGAAAAACTTTCTTAGCTTTAAACATGATCAAATGTCGTTTATTTTTAGTTGAATGCAAATTTCTTGAATTAACTTTTGTAACTAGTTTTATACATTGAGAAAAAGAAAGCCAAATTTGACATGGAACTGATACACAAAATCAAAACATAAAACTCATTGTTCCTCTAATAAAATTAGTGTTACATATTGTAAACAATGTATTTTGGTCCCCAGCAAATTTAGTACAAGAACCGCTACTGGTTAAATACGAATATCACTTAAAATGACTTGGATATGTATTTTCTTGATTACCTAGTATATGTGTCTCGTTCATTAACGATTAATTTTGTTTTTGCAACGTAGATCCTGTGAAATATAATGCAAGGATCCAAATGTCCTGAATCGATAACGAAATACATAAAGTTTTTTGTTTGCGTCTCTAAAGCTTAAAGTTGTTTCAAATATGCGTAAATGAAAATTTTTCCCCCGTATGTTCTCCAATTCCCCATATTTTCTGGTCAAAGTGTCATTTCTTTTTAATTTCAATTTTTTATTGGAAAAAGGAAACAACCGAGCTTGACCAATGACCATACCGCGTTGATGTTTGTCTCCGATAATATCATTGTCGTAATAGTTGGTAAGAAAAAATATATTATCGGTCGTTGTTAACTGAAATCCATGCATTAAATAGAAAGGATTCGAAGTTAATCGCCAAAAAGAAAAAGGAAGGATTCAAAAGTTTTTGGACAGGAAAACAAATTTATTCATTAACGTGGGTAGACAAAAAAGATAGAAATGAAATCCTTACAAAATACATGTACGGACTGCGGTGAATAGAAATGAAT